CTGTGCGCATCAGCTCATGCAGACTCTCGGCGCTCTGGCTCAGCACGGCCCACACCTCCTCCTCCTGCAGCGGACCTCCTCGCACCTCCAGAGCCTCCGCCAGAGACACGTGCATGGTGCCTGTACAGAACCGAACAATCAATCAGAACAACACCACAGGAACAACAGGGTGCAGTGCTTTCATGACGCTCTGCAGAGGGTTATAGAGGGTCAAGCAGCGTGAGCCTCTGACCACATCACCACATCTCCCAGCCGCGGCCTCCCACCAACATTCAGAGCGACTGGTCAGCATTTTAAAGAGATCTGAGCCAAAGAGGGTTTTCAGAGCATGTCAGTCATTTTTTTCAACACAGGCTTTTTCGGTTACTGAGCTGTTTGTGTGAATCACAAAATTCAACCTTAAATCACTGTAATCTCCATCTTGTTTCTACAGCGCAGCACCGTTTAGAAGGAGCTGACCAGCTCACAGCCAGTGCAGCTGGGCTTCAGTCCAGCCTCCGCACTGCGGGGTCAGTTCTTACACAGCGTTACAGCTCAGACTCCTTCAGTACACAAAGACTAATAAAGCACATTCAGTCTTTTAGTTCCAAGTCAAGTCAGCTTTATTGTCAATACTACAACATGTACAGGACACACAGAGTATTGAAACTGCGCTACTCTCAGACCCCATGGTGTCAACACTAAACACTAATTGTAAACAAAATAAACACTAATTGTAGAAAAACACAGATTTTAATATGAAAAAGAAAAAGTATCTGAAAACAGAGATTTTCTTCTGCTTTATTAGGATCTTTCAGTTGGCACTGTTTAGATTTTAAGTAAGTTTATTAATGAAATTATCAGCTGGTAAAGCTGTAGTTATTCAGAAACAATGTTCATATTTTACTGATGTTTTTATTCACTGGACTAAAATAAATCTGTCATTGTTTGACACTCAGACTCAGTCAGTGTCCATATATAATCTGATGTGTGTATCAGTTGATCTGTCTTATAGATGATGATAATCCAGCATGGCTGGAAAATATATTTCATACAACACAGAATTAAACTGAATTAAATCTGTTTGCACTGATTGGTCAGACTTTTCTAGCTGGTGTTAAACTGTTAAACTGGTGTTTGTCTGTAGCAGAGATGTTTATGCTCCTTGTATATAAATATGATTATTCCAACTAAAAATATATTCATGTTAGGTTGTGCCAGCTCTCCCCTAATAAAAAATAGCTAATACTGGGGATCTGGCAACCCTGCGCAGGCTGCAGGGCCTGAGTGCAGCATCTTTGACCACACAAACACTGAAAACAGGAGTAAACGTATCAACAACAACTTTGGAACATCTTTCACAGCGAAAACCGGGTTTTATTTCACCCACTGAGAAAACCGGCTCAGGTAGAGGCTTCCTGGGTGTGACGCCAACCGCAGAGGTCAGAGGTCAAATCGTCTGTATTTCACGACCATAAATAGCTTCTCTGGTAACATTTGCGCACTCAATGCATGTTTATTTAACACTTATAATCTGATAATTGCCATTCTGATCAATTACAACCACAATCATAAAGTATTTACATGAGACAGAAACGTGACGAGTTATTTTCAGATATTTCAGATATTTCGGTTATTGACGAGACAGCGTGAGCCGCCATCTCTGTTTACATGAGACGATGTGCAATAGCAGTGCAGGTTTTAACATCGCTAACAAGACTTGTTACACGTTTACACCAACACTCTCAGAAATAAAGGTACTAAACTGTCTCTGGGGTGGTTCCCCTCTTGTCACTGGGGTGGAACCCTCAAGGCTCCATCTCAGCACCTTTAGTCAGGGAACATAACTGAACCATAATCCACTGAATGATATGTTCTAAGCTGTACTGACTCCACACACCCCGTCTCGTCTCCAGGCTTTTATTTTACTGTTCTGTTTAAAACATTCGGTTATGAAAAGGTACAAATACGAACTTTTCACCTGGAGAAACTTATTTAAGGTTCACAATCAGACCTTAAAACCACTGTTGGAGCTTTGAGGGAACATTTACACTGTTTGTACCTTGAAGAACGAAAAATGCACAGAACCTTTATTTCTAACGGTGTAGATGAACAGTTACTCTCAGACTGTACCGAAGAGAAGAGGCCTCTCAATGAGCTACAGAGGGAGACTTTTCGCTCGTCAGGGACGTCGCTGTGGTCGTTGAGTGAGCGGGTGACAGCATGTTCTGACAGTGTTAGTGCTGATGGGAAACAAAAAATACCTGTGTACATGTGGACTAGGCCTGAAACCGCTCCGAAGTCGTGATGGCTCGAAGTCGGCCATGCAAACAGGCCACAAAATGCTTAAATAAAAAGTAAGATAATTCTGAATTGGTGAACTTCACTGAGTCTGAATCGTTTCCTAATGAGTCGGAAAAAGAACTGAATCATCCTGAGGTCAGTGATTTACAATCCAGTCCACTCCGGACGCTCCGGTCAGTCTGCATTTTTGTTCTCGGCCCTAGATCGACTGGTTAAGGCGAGTCGGAGGAGGAAGAGAGTCAAAAAGTCAAAGTCAGGCTGGTTGCGGGGGGGGGGGCTTCAGGAATGGACCAGAAGCACTGATTATTACATACATTATTAATAACATTACTAATTATTAATTATTACTACGGTTATTAATAAAAATGTGTGCAGGGGTCCTTTTGGAGTACGTATGTAAATTATATAGAGCCGTGTTCCCTGAAGTGGTGAGACGTGGCTTTTGACTGGCTAAATCCATTCCACTGTTGCACAATGTTGCTTCTAGGCAACATATTTCTGCAAATTCTCATTGACTTACTCAAACTCTTCCTTTTATTGTTCACCCCATCATTGCCTTTAAGTATGTACAGCGTTACTGTAAAGTGAGGAGAATGAGTTTGTGGCTCTGAGGCAACATTGTGCAATAGAGGGTTAATCATATCAGCTCTAAAACTGACTACATCATGATGGTGGTGAGGAAAAAAAACATGTGGGCAGCAAAAATGCTGAAGAACGTGAAGCTGAAGGCAGCAGCTCGAGGTCATCAGCACAAACGAGGAGAAAAAGCCGCAATTAACTCTGCGATTTAATGATCTCTGTGAAGTGAAACAACATCCGGGGACAGAAGGCAACGTCTCAGCGTCTCTGAGCTCTCGCTCCCACAAAGGCTCTCCAGAGTTCTCCATTCTAGAGCTTTTACATTCACATCAAGGGATCGGTATCGGTCTATAGCACTACTGGGACGAGATCAGTTCACTATGGGGAGGCGTGTAAAGCCAGTTAACCAGAGGACGTCAGTCAGGTTTACGATCGATTCACACAAGACAGGAAATCTCAGTATAAATGGCAGTGATGGGAGGGGCTACAGCTGGGCGATAGGGCAAAAATACAATATCGCAATACTGTAATGAATTTTCACAACGCATAATGTCATGATATTTATTTTTGCAGACATCTGATCAGTTGGAATAGAAAAAAAGGAACCTATATGTTTAAAATACTATCAAAAACTGTCAACACAGTGATTTTTATTCCATATTTGGCACTAAATCCAGTTAAACGTGACTAATTTTGCTTTCTTGATAATGAAACATGCAGGTCAGTGTCTACAAGTACCGACGATATACACGTAATTTATCACGATAATGATATATATTGTCATACTGCCCAGCCCTACACTGTTAGAAATGAAGGTTCTGTTCAGGTACGTTTCTCGTTCATCAAGGTACAAACAGTGTAAATGTTCCCTCAAAGCTCCAACAGTGGTTCTAAGGTCTGATTGTGAACCTTAAATAAGTGTTTCCAGGTGAAAAGTTCGTATTTGTACCTTTTCATAACCGAATGTTTTAAACAGAACAGTAAAGTAAAAGCCTGGAGACGAGACGGGGTGTGTGGAGTCAGTACAGCTTAGAACATATCATTTCAGTGGATTATGGTTCAGTTATGTTCCCTGACTAAAGGTACTGAGATGGAGCCTTGAGGGTTCCACCCCAGTGACCAGAGGGGAACTGACCCAGAGACAGTTTAGTACCTTTACTCGATGCTAGAACATCGTATTCAGCCGTTATTCTGTTGGCTGTGACCGTCGACATCAGAGCATAAAATCAAACGTTTCTCTGTAATATTACTGTTCTGAGTTGAGGACTGAGGGTGCATATCAGCTTGATTTCAGCCTCAGAGAACACAAGTCAGTGATTCTTTGAGCCTTCAGACTTCAGAAACTCCTTTGCAAAAGAATGTGTGTATATATATATATATATATATATATATATATATATATATATATATATTTCTACAGCTCGTTTTATAGACGGTAAAGGAGAGTCTTTACAGCTGTCTGTAAAAAATAACTGACATTTAGATGAGAAATCACTGAGAAATGTCGGTGTGAAATCCATTACTCACCCCTGTAAAACCAACCCCATCTGAATGGTGCCTAACCCCAGAGGGCGTTTTCTTGATTTTTGCATATATTCTTAAATACGCCTTTAAAGGCTCTTGCATACGACACGATTCCCACATATTATATATCAAAATGTTCAGAACAGCCTCAGCTGTTCCCATTTGACCTGAAGCTCTGTGCACAGAGATAATTCAGCCCTAAAGTTTTAGAAATTCTTAATATCTCTTGTGAAAACAGCTTTACTCATGTGGACGAATGGTTTTGGTGCTTGAAATGTGTTTACCAAAGTCTCAGGATCACAAAAGTAATGGAATGTATGAGTAAAATAGTAGATGAATGTTATAAAGTCATAAAATTGGACTGAGCAGGTTTTATGATGCACATTTGGCAACAATAACTGGGATAATATACACCAAACAGTACTAATCTCGCTGTACTTTGGTGAAACTGAGCTCCAGTGTTTCAGCATCTCTAAAACCGATAAAAAACACATTTTGGCGCATTTCCACACAACATAACTGATGTGTGTATTAATGTGTGCATATCAGGTATTTTAGGACAGCTTAGAATGTGTCTCAACCACATTTTTAAACTGATCAATTTGGAAATGATCCTGGACGAGACAGCAAAAAGCGCCACAGGCGACTTCTGTCACCAGCAGGTTTTTTGTTTGTTTGTTTGTTTGTATGTAAACACAAATACCATTATACACTGTATACTATGGTGAAATGTC